TACATCGTACTCATGTCGTGAAACCACCCGGTGAAAATATCGACTAGCGATATTCAAAATAAAATAGTTTCATGAGTTTTATTTTTAGAATATTCAATTATTATTTTATTCTTGACTCCCTATTTTCATTTTATTCATAGTGAAGTTCACATCAATATAATAAATACGTCACGGTGCGCAGAGGGGTTGTATGAATCAGAAGGAATGACATTTTAATAAATATATAATATTTTTTCTTTCTTCTTTCCTCTTTATCCTGGAGCTCTTACAAAAACCAAGGCTCGTTATCGACAGTATATTTAGAGTTATCCAACTCCCTGCGGTTCAGAACATACACAATTTGGCAAAACTCGGATTGTTGTGTTTACATTTTCACCACTTTTGTGTATTGAAATTTCACTGGGTTTTTTGGGGGTGGGTGCATACAAAATACAGTAACAGCTGTCGACGCACCCCATTAAACATCAGTAAACATTCTGCTTGTTCTGATCACAGGTCCAATCTTTTGAAACTCAGACTATTACTAGTAATCTGTAGGTTCGTGAGGTACGATAAATAAATACTTCCTCCAATTTATCACAGGCAAAGCTGTTGTTTCGCTAATGGTTGTACACATTTAACAGAAGTTACCTTAATTACTGTATACCTGTGACGAAAAAAGATAATGCTCTGTATTTAGCCAGGTGATGAAATGATAATTAAAGGGCGACAGTCGTCGCGCCGCGTCCTGTTCGATATGGGACTCATAGCGACGTATACAACGCGTGTAAAATACAATGTTTGTTTACATGAAATTCGAACACGCGCTGCGCGACGACAACCGCGCTTTAAGCACATTTATAGACATATAATAATAATTTTATGAAGAATAGTGTAGCCAATATTTTCAAGCAAAACATTTGAATTTGTTGAGAGATACATTGTAAAGTATGTGAATGTAAGTGCATGATTAAACCTTCGGGTTGCGGGTGGGTGCTTATGGATGTGTGAAAGCACACTCGGTTGAGGGCGCAATACACAACGAGATGCCGAGCAGTGGTTGAATATTTCAGAACGTGACGGTGCTTACTAGTATATCCCATAATAATATAGGACAATGTGTTCATATACAATGCGTTTTAAAAACGAGTACAAAAAAGAAGTAATAACAATAGCTTATACTGTTGCATCATAATATGACGTGAACGAATAAATTGTGTAATATTTTTGCAAATTACTTCAGTTATTTTTCTTCATTACAAACATTGTACCTGCAACAGCACCGGACATTGAATGTCACTGTTGAATTTGTGCAAAATTGTAACTTGAAGGGTTAGTGCTGATATTGAGTGCATTTTCTACATCAACCATATTTCATTATATTTGTTAATATGCGACAGGACTACGTGAGCATCTTTCAATCAATATTTGCCATCGTGGCAATTTTATATACGCCATCCTGCAGTGGCGGCGACCCCCCGAAAAAATATTGGAGGGAGCGACAACCCCCAAATCAAGCTGAAACCTATTGTATTATGTCAGGAAAATGTTCCCCTCAAAATGCAGGAAATAGCGTTTCAGAGGGTCTAGATTCATTTTCATTTTTGTACGGTGGAGCCGCCGCCTCTGATCCTTAATAAATCATTTGGGCCCGGTCGAACACAAGCACCTTTGGACCCTAACAAATGTTCTCCGAATGTCACAGTGAATTTGTTCTTCGCATTGAGTCGAAAATAGAGATCGACCCTTTTTGGTATCCAACTCGAGATTTGAACTCGCGTGTACGGACCATGAATCCGATGTTTAACAGCCACTGTACCATGACGCTAGCGATTCGAATAAAATATCGAGCTAACTGCGAAGGCTGGCGTCCATTGTTGCCTTGATACAACGTAAATGTATAAATTGGTAATATATTTGCAAATTAGCTCAATTATTTTTCCTAATTTCTCACTTAACTACCCCGACATTGAAATAACGGCGTCACCGGCTGTTGCGTGTCATCGCAGAGAGGCAAGCGCTAGACGTGGCAGATTTGCAGTCACTAGTCACAAGGTTGTAACCATATTTTCATACAATCCACTCAAAAACTGGCTCCTTCTGTTTTGGTGAGTACTCTAATTAAATTCAGTCACAATAAGCACAATGGTTTCAAGTTGTCAAGGAATCCCTTATATAGAGCGAGCACTCAAGGATGATGCATAAACCGTTTGCCAAGAGTAACACAAGATTATCTCGAAAAGGTCTTAAAATCGATATGTTCTTTTATATTTTTGAAATATTTGTCGTTGATATGTCATTTTTATCTTCTTTTTCGCTATCCACAGTGACGTCATAACAATAGCACCACTCGAATTTTGTTTCTTTTTCTCCAGATAGAAGAACTGTTGTTTTTTGTCCCTATCACCTGGAATTCATAATGGTGTTTTATGTCGTAGTTTGCTGGGTGATGTTAGGACACGTTGCCGGGCAACAGGTTGTACGGAGTGAAAAATATGACTCGGATGTCCCCACACTTAGTCCAAAGGAAGATAAGACGTCAGCTTTAACCTTTGAACTACAGGACGCCGACGACTTGTGTTTCTATGAACAATTTGTCACTGGAGGAAAATACGTATTCGAGTATCAAGTTTTAAAGGGCGGGAAACTTGACGTCGATGTTCTTATAACTTCTCCACGTGGGAAGCATGTATACGAAGGAAAGAAACAAAAATCAGACAAGACAGTCTTCGATACCGGGAATGGTATTTTCAGTTTCTGTTTCAGTAATCGCTTCTCGGCTTTCACCCATAAAATAGTGTATTTCAGCCTACGTTCGCAAAACATTGCGTCGCTTGCGGCGAGAGCAGGTCGTTTACGGCGGCCGACAGTGATGACGTCAGTGGAAGCCAGCATGGAACAAATCAACCAGGACTTACAAGAGACACTCGAGTATCAAACTGCGTACCGACTCAGAGAACTTTCGGGCAGGTCCTTTGCTGAAGACATGTCATTGAGTGTTTTATCTTGGTCGGTGATATGTGCAGTTCTTATATTCATAACTGGGGTTGGACAGGTGATAATACTCAAAACTTTTTTTACTCATACTCACACTTCTCAAAAACAAACATCATCTATGTAATACTTCGAAATCTATGCAATCTTATAGGGCGGTAGTCGTCGTGCCGCGTCCTGTTCGATATGGGACTCATAGCGACGTATACAACGCGTGTAAAATACATTGTTTATTTACACCTCAG